GCTGCGCCTGGGCTGGGACTGGTCCCGCCGGTGCAGGGTAGCAGGAAGCTCTCCACACACTCACTGGACCTGGGCTAGGACTGGGTCTCATGTTGTTGGTATTTAATATTTAAATATTAGTTCTTCTAAGAAATGTGTGATTGTATATTCTTTGTTGTCATTTTGTAGTGTTGTTGTCTTAAGGAGATTCAGCCATGACTGGTTGCAAATATTGAACAAGAATAGCGCAGTGTATTTTAATTTTGCTCAGAACAGTAATTTAAATTTCTTTTATAAATACCAGGTATTTTGAATATGAAAGTTACCTGAAATTTTGATGTGTGTATTTTTGAAAGAGATTTTTCTAGAATGTTGAAGTTGGGTGCTTTAGAGGCATGTGCTTCTTGCCAGTCTTTGCCGTGTTATGAGCATGGTTTGTTGTTGTTGGAAAGAATTGTTTTTATTGTTAATTCATTGAAAATAGAAATTCAGTCTTCTCGGACTACCACAGGTCACCCGTGGATACAGTGGGCAGCCTCACGATGTCCACCTCCCTCCCTGAGTGCTACAGAGCTATCCAGAAGCCACATGGAAGTGTATGGAGTATGTGTTTTGGGACATTTGCTTAAAGGGACGTCACACGTTTTGTGCCCCTGTCACAGTGGCCCTAAATTCCCGTTGTGTGTAGTAAACAGAGAAGCCGTTCTTCAGGCCGCCTGCTCCGAGCACACCCTAACAATCATGGTGACTTTATGGTTACAGATTGTGTGTGGACACTGCTAGAGCACAAAGGAGCACATAACGCATGGGGTGTGTCGCTCGTGCGTGTGTGGCACCACGCACGTGCTGTGCGTCCTGAGACGTCCATTTCATTATTTGGCACGCTCGCTTTTGAGTGTGCCTATTCCTTTTGGAGCCCTGTTCCTTCTGTCTTTTCTCTTGAGTCCGGGGTGTAATGTCATCTGAGCGCATGCGTCAAGTACCTTCTCCGTGATTGTTCTTTATTTGAACATCTATCTTTAGGGCTTGGGTACCTGGCACTTACGGTCTTCATCAGGCCGCACTTTGTGAAGAGAAAGCTGCCGTGCTTTCCTGTGCTCTGCGCTGCAGGGCTGGCCTCGGCCGGCCCCCACCCGGAAGGCGCTGCAGGGCTGGCCTCGGCCTGGCCCCACCCGGAAGGCGCTGCAGGGCCCTGCACTCAGGTGCCCGCAGCGTGCGGCAGCTCTGTGCTGCCCTCTCTGTCTGGAAGGAAGAGGGCCAATCTTGTCTGAGGTCAGGCCAAGTGACAACAAGGACCTGCTTTACAGTTGGAGCTCTGTTCCTTCTGTCTTTTCTCGTGAGTCCGGGGTGGCACAGGGATAACAGTTTTTCAGAAATCCATCTCTCATTGGTTTGCAAGGACTCTTGGTGTGACGTTGCTGAAAGATGGATACAAAGCAGCACCCCTGAGTGCCAGGGGGATCCCCTTAACCTGAGTGTGAAAGGCTGCAGAGGGAAGGCTGAAGCCGGGTCGTGCAGCAGGGAAGGAAGGCAGCCGAGGTCTGCTCAGCCTGACATATTATATCCTACAGGTTAAGGCTTGCAGAGAAGCCAAAGAAATAATTTTTAAAAATTGAATTATAGGGAACACACATTATCTTTTTTTATGGCTTGCCCAATTTGGAATAAAAAATAAAGCCAGGTAGGATCATGTAAAAGAAGAGGGTGTAAATTGTGCTGAGTCAGAATCAGAAAAATTCCAAGTCTTATTAGAAGAACCAGAGACTGTTTTCTGATAAGTTCTGTAACTTAAAACAGAAACTCATAATGTACACCAGTATAGAACTGCTACTGTTCTAAAATCTCATGCAGGTTATAGAAAACGTGTCTGTAATGGTCTTAGAAACCTGATGTAAGAAGGGCTGGCCAAATAGGTCAGCAGATTAAAGCACCTGCAAGCAGGCGCAGGGGCCGGGGGTTCCCCAGGCCTACCATGCCGCCCCGCCCCTGGGGTGCGCTGAGACGTGATGGAGGCTGGGCGTGGTGGTGCATGTCTGCAATCCTAGCTCTTGGGAGGCTGGAAACAGGAGAATCACGGAGTTTGATCTCGTACTGAGACCCTGAACAGTCTACTCTGTAGGCCCTTCCCTAAAATACAGGGGAAAAAAAAAAGAAATGATGTAAGAGATCATGGTGTGGTTGAAAAATTCATATATTATGCATCAGGCAGGTTTTTTTTT